GACGCCGGACGCAGCGCCGCCACGCCCACGACCCGCCTCTGCGACGCCGTCGGACGCATCCCCGCCCCCTGCCGCCGGAGCCGCCCAAACCCCGCCCCCGGGGAGCCGCCGCCGTACGAAGAGTGGCCACCGCCCAGGACACGCCCCCGTGTCGCCGTCACCGCCCAAGTCCCGCCCCCGCAACACCCGTTCCGACGCAGCGCCCCCTCCTCTGGCCCCTCCCTCAGGACCTCGCCGCCAAATGAGGCACCGCCCCGACCCAAGCCCAGCGGCCGAGACGGCGCAGGACGCAACACGGCCTCCCCCAGGCACCGCCCCCGCATAAGCCACGCCCCCGGCCACTAAGCCTCGCCCAGGCTAGGCGGCTAGGACGCTGCCGGAGCGCGCAGGCGCAGCACCTGCACGCCCCGCCCCTCACGCCGCAGGCTACCGGCCGGGCTGGCGCTGCGGAAGAGACCTGGAGGGGGCGGTGCCTGCAGGAGGCGAAGTCGTGGGCGGCAGGGGCCAGGGCTGGAGGAAGCGAGGTGCGCGGCTCGCGGTTTCTTCTCCTCACGGCCGTTGGCGGCTGCCGTGCGCCCACTCAACTGCCGCCGGGGGGTTTCCGGCCGGCCAGGAGCAGGCGGCCCGCGGGGACTTCCGGGCCCGAGGCGGCAGGAAGGCCAGTCTTGCGTGCCGCGTGGCTGTCCCGCGAGGGCCCGCCGCGCACGTGCCGGCCCGTTCTTGGCGAGGCAGGTCCGCGGAAGGGCTGAGGCGCTCACGGAAGGCGATAGATGGGGGCAGGTGCCCGCGGGTGCGTTCACCCGGGCCCCGAAGCCTCAGCGAACCACGGGCTTCCCCGCGGTGTCCACGGGCCGCTGGCCCCCGGTGTCTGCGCCGGCGCTGTGCGGCTCGAGGTACCCACACCCGCCCCGGACTGTGCGTCCCACTTGGTCCCCGGCTCACCTGCACCTGAGGCCTCTCCTAGCGGGTCCCACCGGCTCTGCACCGACGCTGTCGGCTCCGGGCCTCTGTTCTGTTTAAGCTCTTAAGTCTAAGACGATAAGGTGCGCCCGCGGCGGCCTTGGCCTCGTTGGCCGAAGAGCAGGGATTAACCCTGTGGTCCAGCAGGAGTTGGGTGGCCAGGAAGGGGTGGGGGGATAAGAGGAGGTGGAAGGGCTTCTGAGCAGCCACTAAGGCAGGACGGGGCGGGGAGCAAATACTTGCCATCCAGGAATCAGGTCCTCGGATTTTAATGTAAAATCACCTGCTTTTAAGTGTTGGAAACTAATGCAAACATTTGTGCAGAGCCAATAAACTCTGCAGGCTGAGTGTGGCCATGTTCTACACCACAGCTTACTGCGTACAGAAATGAAACGTTCACTTTAAAGTCGGAGCATAATGACCAGGAAGTCTTTCCTTCAGCAGTTACTGGTTTAGTTCAATAACGCGCGTCAGGGCATGCACCCCTCTGCTCGGAACCTCCTGATCTTGGATCACCCACAAACACCCCACACCCGCCCCGCCCTGGGGTTCCAGACCCGTCCCATCTACTCTGCTGCTGTGCCCCATGGTCCTGACTCTTCTGGACCAACCAGGCAGGCGAGGAAGTAGGACCTTCTCACCACCTCTGTCATTTACTTATGTAATCTTAGGAACTGAGTTTTGTTTTGTTTTTTCCAGTCTCGCTGATGGATCCCAGCTCCTAGATGTTGCCTGGCTTCCAACAGTGGCCGGTATTTGTTAGCAAGCTTTATTAGCAGCCCACATCCACCGCCACCTGTTTTTGTTCGGCCCACGAGCTAAGAAGATTTATGCATTTGAAAATGATGATATCTCATTATTCTTTATTTTCATGTGAAAATTACATGAAATCCAAATTTTAGTATCCTAAATAAGTTTCAAATAAAACCAAAATGCTCCAGAGAAGTGAGAATGGGGAAACTTCGTCTTATTTTGGACATATCATCAGGGAAGATCAATTGCTAGAAAGGACATGATTTTTGGTGAAGTACAGGGTTAGCGAAAACAACGAACCCTCCATAAGATGGATGGACCCAGCACCACAGCGACGGACTCAAGCACATCAGTGATCACAGAGATGGTGCGGGATGGGCTGTTTCATTCTGTTACAGGGAAGGTCGCCGTGATTCGGAGCCAACTCCATGGCAACTAGCAACAGAGTTTAACTGGAACATACGCTCATTCATTTTGCTTTAGCAATACACCAGCAGAGTTGAAAAGCTGTGACAGAGACTGTATGGCCCACAAAGCTGAAAATATTATCTGGCCCTTTACCGAAAATGTTCCTGACCCCTGGTCTAGATGAAGGACGCCTCCCCCTTGGCCCCTCTGCACTGACACTCAACTCTTCCACTGAGAGGCTCAAGGGCCCCCCTTCCCACCTCAAGCTGGGTCAAAGCTAGAGTCCTGACGATGACGGCAGAAAGGCCCACACTGTCTGGCTCCTATCACCCCACATACCCCCTCAGCCTCCTCTACCTCGGTCCCACTGTCCTCCCTGATGCCCCACACCTCAGGCCTCTGCACTCTGTTCCCTCTGCCTGGAATGCTCTTCCCCAGACATCTGTCTGCCTCACTCCACCACCTCCCTCAGATCTTTGCTCAAATGTCACCTGACCCGAGAGGCTCTGTAGACTAGCACCCCAATCTCCATCTCTCCCTTCACTGACTCGATTTTTCTCTGGCATATCATGTATTGACTGGTTCCTGGTCTGCCTCCCCTACTAGAATCCACACTTCCTGGGGGAAGGTGTACGGGTATATTACATGCAGTCCAAGAAGAATAAGCCTCACATGAACCTGACCCAAGCCAAGGTGTTTTCAGTCGGCTCACATGCATGTGAAAGGTGGACAATGAATAAGAAAGACCAAAGAAGAACTGATGCCTTTGAATTATGGTGCTGGCAAAGAATACTGAATATTCCATTGCCTGCCAGAAGAACCAACAAATCTATCTTGGAAGAAGTACAACCAGAAAGCTCCTCAGAAGTGAGGTTGGAAAGACTTCAGCTCATGTACTTTGGACATGTTATCTTGAGGGACCAGTCCCTGGAAAAAGACATCATGCTTGGTGAAGGGTCAGCGAAAAAGAGGAAGACTGTCAATGAGATGGACTGACACAGTGACTGTAACAATGGGCTCCAACATACCAACGATTGTGAGGATGGCGCAGGACCAGGCAGTGTTTTGTTCTGTTGTACACTGGGTCGCCGTGAACTAGAACCAACTCGAAGGCACCTAACAACAACAAAGTCCTTGTGGAGCAGGCTGAGAAGTCGTCACCAGGGCTTCCAACCAGTTCATTCAGCTTCCAGCCTCTGCTGAAAAATTTGCATTTCTAACAAGTTGCCAGGCAATGGCAGTGCTGCTGGTTAGGGAGTATCCAGAGAACCACTAGGAAAGCAGTGGTTCTCACAATTTCTCATACAGAAGAATCACCAGGGGATCTTGTTAAAATGTAGATTCTGATACCTTACATCTGGGTGGAAATGCAAATTTTCAGCAGGGGCTGGAAGCTAGATGAAATTGTTGGAAGCCTTGACAGTCACAAAAGCTGTTTTGTTGCTTAAAGCGACGCTGAACTAAAATACAGTACCTGACTTACGGTTTTCACATAACTGAATAAAAAGTCTAGAGAATAGCACTGTTTACATCTTTTCTGCCCCTCTATTAAAACAAATTACTAACCCCCAACTTTTAAAAAAATTTACCGTTATGAATTAAAACCTAATCATCATAATTGACAAGACAGGCTATTTCTAGTGAAGTTCTTTAAAAAAACATCTACAGCATCTGGCCTGAAGAACTAGGAGTAAGGCACATGTAGACATGACATAGAAAGCTGGACAGGGACACTCCAACTCGGACCTGCGAGTCCCTCACCTGATGTCCTACATGGCCCCGATCGGAGCGAGTCAGCAGCCCCAGTGGCAGACACAGCTAATGCCTAGTAAGCAACATTTTTTAGCCTGGTGGCTCCATCAGGAGTTTCAATACTGAAAGTATACTAAGGGAAGATTCACTTTCAAAAAGATAAGTTTTTCAAAGTGTTCCATCATGAGCCGGGACTGGCTGAAGCTACTGTTTTCAGTGGATGTGTTGAACAGCTTTTCTGAAGGGACGGTACTCGGGGGGCAGCCCAGAAACCTGACCGCCAGGGCCGCCAGGGCCGGCCAAGACGACTTCTTCAGGTTCCAGTAGGTTAACGGATCACAGCTGTGGTCAAGCACCTCTTCCTCCAAGTAGGCAAGCACCATGTCTTCAGGTAACTTTGTCTTCTCTCTCAGATCCTTTCTTTTCATCTTGGCCATGAGTGACCACAGGTTTTCCTCTGCAACAGAGTCTTTAGATGGTGAACCTGTATCACACCCATTGGAAACAGGTTTATCATCTGAGGTAGAATTCAGTATTTCTAGTTCCCTGATTAAATCTTGCTTGTACTGCTCGGCCTCCTCCTCTGTAAATAAGGAGGCTTTGTAACGAGGGTCCAAAAGTGTAGCAAAGATGTACCTCGGATCGTGGAGGGTGGAGGACAAGCGGCTCACCATGGCTTCCTTCAAAGACTTTAGCATGGTGTCAATGCCCATCGTCTCCTCAAACAGCATCTCGATTTTCCTATTAAGGATGTGGATCATGGGGATCACCTGGCTGAGAGCAGACACGCGTGTGCTCATTTCCCGACTCGCGACATCAAAGGGTTTCAGCGCGTGGCACACGGACTGCATGACTTCCCACTGGTCACAGCTGATCAGTTCCCTAAAGTTACACTCGATGGACATCTCATTAATGGCCCTTTTCTGTTCAATGAGTCTTTCAAGCATATGAAACGACGTGTTCCATTTGGATGGAACATCTTGAATCAGATGGTGTTGGGGCAATTCATATTCTTTCTGCAGCTCTGCTAGTTTCTCTTTTGCTTTGGGTGACCGATGTACCCGCTCACATATCTTGCGTGCAATGCTCAGTAAGTTCTGAACCATCCTCTGACTTTTGATGGCCTCATTCACAATGAGGTTTACTGTGTGGCTGAAGCACTGCACGCTCGAGTGATCCCCTTCGTTCAAGGTCTTCCCGATGCTGGGGTTGTCAGTCACCGTGATGCCAATCTGAAGGCCAACGGATGTCACCCAGGCTTCCCACCAACATTCCAGCTGCTTCTGAATGCTGTTGCCACCGTAGTCGCAATCAATCTGCGACACGTCCAAGAGTGCTGAGCGATGGTGGTCTTCACAGCGGGGGCGGACTGATGATGCAAAGGTGACCCAGTGAGCCGTCAGGGTCAGGTACTCACGCGTCTGGTTACTCATCCATATCCCAGACGTGAAGTGGACCACGCCACTCTCAGCTTCCTTAAGATGGGACAGAATGACCTGTTTCACATTATCGTACATACCTGGAATAGCTGTCCTGGAAAAATAAGACGGTGAGGGTAAAGAGTACTGAGGTTTCAAGTATTCAAGCAGCCTGTTAAAGCCAACATTGTCTACAAAAGAATATGGCTGAAGGTCAAGTGCAATCATTTCAGCTATGAGACTTGTTATTTTTTTGGCAACTGGGTGAGAATCACAGAACTTTTCACTGGTGTCATCGCAGGATGAAGCACCTAGTAACTCTGCGCTCAGTGGCACACGCGTTTCTGGAGAAGAGGGCAACGCTGTGTCCGAGGTGTCGTTTTTTAGCACGTTGCTATGAAACCTCTGTAAGTGTCTTAAAAGGCAACTGGTACCTAAGTTCGTTGGCTTCTTTCCCCTGCTTATTGTTCGTCCACAGTGCAAGCACACGACTTTAGTGGAGTCTGCTGAACAAATAGAAAAATGATTCCACAGTTTTGAGGTCTTTTTGCTATTAACAGGAAATATAACCTGATTATCTTTTGAAACCATTGTGGGCAAGTCGCTTAATTTGGAGGAGCTTTCTGCAGAAGCCAGAGTGGCATATGGAGAATTTGCTAGACTTGCACCTAGAAAGCCCCGTTGGTTCCCAACAACTTCAGGGTGGCGTCTATAGAGATGCCTCATCAAACAGCTCGTGCCCACATCACCCTTCTTGCCCCGACTGATAATACAGTTGCAGTATCTACACACTGCCTTCAGACTGTCCATGGGAGCTAATGAAAAGTGATGCCAAACTTCGGACTTCAGTCTCTTCATGACCTTTTTATTCTGCTGAAACACAGTGCCAGATTCAAATACCCGAGGACTCGGTCCGTCACCCTGCTTCTCAGGAGAAGACACCATGGAGGTGTCACCAACACCCTCGGATGACGACAGCACCAACACGTCCTCCGGTAATGTGTCTCCAGGATTAAAATGAGAATGGACGTCTTCGGGCAGCCTGTCAGGAGAGGAGGACGCCGAGGTGGGTTCTCCAACCACTTTCCCTGGAGACGACGACCCGGAATTGAAGTCGCCATCCAAAGGCAGCAGAGAGGGCAGCAGAGTGGGAGGCGTGGAATACGGTGGCGGGATGCCCGTGCCGCCCCCATTCTCCTGCAGGACAATGGAGCGATGGGCCCTCCACATGTGCCTGATCAGACAGCTTGTTCCAAGAGCCTTCCCGTTCTTCCCTCGGCTGAACTCATTCATGCAGTGAATGCAAACAGCTTTAGAGTTGTCTAAAGGAGACAGACAGAAGTGCTTCCAGACAGCAGATCTTCTTGTGGAGCCTGATGTGCTCTTTGGAACCGTGAGGCTTTTTTCCGTGCTGATCTCCACAGCCTCATCATAATGGACACTGAGCAACTGTGGAGACGACCCCACCATGGCTTCTTCTTTGCTGTATTTCTCAGAAACGGACCTGTCAGAGGAAATTTCTTCAGAAGAAATGACAGACACAGATTCCTCAGTTATTCGATCAGGGGATGGTACCTTAGATGCAATGTTTTTGACAAGCTTTATGGGTGAGAGTATGGTGCTTAGGTCTCCTCCATCTGCAGACGGGGGTGGGAGCAGGAGCAAAGGAGAAGAAAAGGAGGCCATGTTGGACACACTGCCATTTTCCTGAATCAGCACAGTAGGATGAGCTCTTCTCACATGTCTCATGAGACAAGTGGTACTTAAGTCTTTTTCATTTTTACCTCGACTAAATTCTTTCATACAGTACATACATATTGCTTTAGTACTATCTCGAGGAGAGATAAAAAAATGTTTCCAAGCTGGAGATTTCTTCCTGGAGTTTATGTTTCTGTTGGAGAGAAGGCTCTGCGTCACAGCTTCCTTTGCGACGTCATACAGTGTGCTACTGTACTGGGAGAACAGGGACCCATAGTCATCCTCGTTGTCGGGGGGCACGTACTTCCCGGCGGGTGGGCAGGCACAGTCCGCCTCTCTGCTCTCGAGGTGCTCGTCCCCGCTATCTGTGTGCTGCGGGTGCCCTTGCTCACTTCTCAAATCCATCCTCTCCAAGCTGTGACTGGAAGTTCGATCATCGTCTTCCACTTCTATGTTAAAAGTGATTTTATCAGAAATAAATTTACCGTCCACTTTTGGACAAGTTTCCTGGCTATTATCCATGATCAACCATGGCTATTCCTGCTGCTTCATCATGTTAATGCATGAGGTCGGTACAAAGTTGATCCAAACAATCATATGTCTCCCAAATGTAGATACTCTTTAGGTTTTCATATAACATCTGTCTTTTGGTGTGTCTTGGTGAACATGACTAACCATAAATCTAACTGAAACAAAATACGTAGCTCACGTGAGCGTATCATCTTCAGGCACACATCACTGCCTTCCAGGAGTTCTTCTGTGAAATCCTTCACGGTGCTGACATAAATTTATGTCGTGGAGGCTTGTTTCTGGGCTCAGAAACAGGATCCCCTTCATCCTGAGAGCATAAGCATGATCCTTTTGCATCACCTATAAAAGATTAAATCAAATTAAACATTGGACTACATCATACATATTCAAATATATTTTATCACGGATATATCAGTGTCAATATGTATAGAAAAGAATTCCATCAAAGTAAGTTAAAATCAAAGAAGTGAAGAGACAATCTACAGATTTATAAGGCAATTCTGCTCTGTCCTATAGGGTCGCTATGTGTTGTAATTGATTCGATGGCAGTGGGTTTTTTTTTTTTTTTTTTTTTTTTGGTTTTATATCAGCCAAGGGCCTAATATCCAAAATACGTAAGAAACTTCTACAGCTTAACAATAAAAAGACAAATGACCCCATCAAAAAATGGGCAGAGGAGTTAAACAGACATTTCACCCAAGAGGACATTCAGACGGCCAACAAGCACGTGAAAAGATGCTGAACACCATCAGCCAGTAAAACCAAAACCAAACCCGTTGCCGTCAAGTCAATTCCAACTCAAAGCAATCCTACAGGACAGAGCAGAACTGCCCCATACAGTTTCCAAGGCACGCCTGGTGGATTTGAACTGCTGACCTTTTGGTTAGCAGCTGTAGCTCTTAACCACTATGCCACCAGGATTTCGATTACAGAGATGCAAATCAAAACCACAATGAGATTTTGTGGTGCCTCACACGCATTAGAATAGCAGTCATCAGGAAAATGGAAAACAACAGGTGTTGTTGAGTTTGTGGAGAAACTGGAACCCTCATCCATTGCTGGTGGGAACAAAAATGGTGCAGCCACTGTAGAAAGCAGTTTGGCGGTTCCTCAGAAAGTTGAACACAGAACTACCCTATGACCCAGCAATCCCAATCTTAGGTATATGCCCAGAAGAAGTGAAGGCAGGAATGCAAACAGAAACCTGTACACCAGTGTTCACTGCAGCACCTTTCACAACTGTCAACAGGTGGAAGCAACCGAAATGGCCATCAACAGATGAATAAACAAAATCTGGTGTATCTATACCATGGCATATTAATCAGAAAGAGTCCTGAGGCATGCTACAACAGAGACGAACCTTGAAAACAATATGCTGAGCAAAATAAGTCAGTTGCAAAAGGACAAATACTGTATGAACTTACTTGCATGAAACAAGCCAATATATAGAAACCAAGGATTATTAGTGGTTACCAGGGTAGAAGAGAGGGGAGAAAGGGAGAGTTTTGCTTAGGGGGCACTGAGTTGATGTTAATGGTGGTGGAATAATCTGGAAAAGGACAGCGATAAACGTACAACATGAACAGAATCAATGTCACTGAATTGTAGGTGTGGAAATTGTTGAATCGATGAAGGTTTTGCTATATATATTTTTACCATCAAAAAAAAGTAAATTAAAATGAAAAACTTGTTTCCTTTTTTGCAATCTACTTACACAATGAAAATACCTGAACATGGCAAAATAAGCCAAAAATGAAGAATTCAAATTTGAACGGCCTATTAATAAAGGACTGGGGGAATATGAACAGAAATCTACGACAGTATAAAAAGGTTGTTTCAGTCTATAATTTATGCCCCTACTCTAGGTATACCATGGGTACTGATGCCTGATAGCAGACAGGACCAATGGTGGAAAGGCCGGATGGTGGAGTGCCATGTACCACAGAGAAGGCAGCCGCCCACCAGAGAAGCTGAGCTGGGGCACCCGCCTAGCAGAGAAGGCCACCGCCCGCCAGAGAGGCCAAGCTGGGCCACCCGCCTGGCAGAGAAGAAGCCATGTCCGCTGACCACTGGAGGCCTGTGTGCTCCCTGATGCTGATCCCGAGTTGCTCCTGCTACAGTAAAACCTGTGAAAGCCAGGACCTGTATAAGGCGGAAAGCTGTCAGAGAAGAAAAACTCATATTTTCCACTAATAGAGCGCGAGACCCAGAAGCAAGGGCGGTCCCGGCGACCTCCGGCTCCCGCAGATTTCACAGGACTCCATGTTGATCCTGGCCCGTGACCAGCACATAGCTATTGAGTATGGTCTATGAGTTCCGTGTGGCCGTTGCGACAAACTGGGGAACCGGCTGGTGTCTGAAATTACAGAAAAGTAGGAAGGCGGAGGTGTACCCGACTTCTGCCTCATAGGAACCAGCTTTGTGCTGATCCGGATTCTTAACCCGCGTGAGTTTAGACAGTTCATGTCACTTTATGACCACTGTGCAGGAACCAGACTCAACAGCAGGGAAACCGTGCCGGCCATGCCTCAGGGGCCTGACAGCTGTGCGAGAGACAACCATCCTCGAGAACGGTACAGTTTCAACTAGGATTGACGTGACAAATGAGAGATGCGATGTTGTGACAGGGTAAAAGAGCAGGACAGGACTGAGACCAGGAAGGGGCAGAAGTTATCAGGACACAATAACTGACCAGAAATTAAAGGATGATGAAGAGGCATGGGGCAGGAGTAGGGCAGTCTCATGAGAAAGTAAAAAAGTAACAAAAACATTCTCAGCAATTGGCTGCATAAATACTCGGAAAAGCACTCACTATAACCAAACTAGATGCTAGAAAGCCTACGAAAAACATACTTTTAATACTTCACTTGGCATACAAACAGGACAGAACTCTCCAAGGGAAACGAGCAAACAAGCGAGGGGAAACGGAGAGGTGAGCCGAGGTGACAAGGGAGGCCGTCCGCAGCCAAGGCGTGAAGTGCCTGGGTGGAGACCACACTCTGAGCTGCCAAGAGTGGCGGGACTGACCCCAGGGCTCCTGACTCGCTCGGGAACCAAAGTAGGAAGGTAGCCATATACTCTACCTTCTAAACCAGGGCATTCACAAGAACGAAAGGGAGCAGGCTGGGATAAGAGGCTAAAACCAAACCCGTCCTGAGCTGAGCAGGATGTGTGGTCATCCTGTAAAGGGTTCCCAGGTTCATAAGAATGAGATCGTTGCAGAATAAATGCAGATCGTTTCTGAAGGAGAGAATTTCCAATAATAAGTCTTACAAAGTTCAGCCAAATAAAAATGCAAAACAAAAATTAGCATAAAAATAAACTCTCACTAGACACACAAGGAAACACATACCCCTGAACGAGAGTCAGCAAAAGCAGCAGACGCAGAATTTCAAGGACCTCACTTATTTGAATTACCACATACAGAATATAAATAGGTGTATATTGCATACAACTATTCATTTAAGCATATGCATACACATGTAAATAACTATATAATACTCTATGCATATATTGTACATAGATATACTACTTTTAAGAAATAAAATATAGCAACTGAACAAAAATGATAAAAAGAAAATGAAAAGCCAGATTTGGAAAAGAATAAAATACAACACTAAGAAGTATAAATACATGCCAGTCAAGAGCACAGTGGCACACGACATCCACTGACGAGGGGGGCTATAATCACTAAGAGAATGAGTGTTGCAAGGACACGGAGAAATGGAAAGCCTCATACATTGCTAGGAGGGATGCAAAATGGCACAACTACTTTGCAAAATAGCTTGGCAGTTCCTCAAAATTTAAACATAACATTATGACCTGACCCAATTCCACTCCTAGGTATATACCCAAGAGAAGTGAAAACATGCTCACACAAAAACTGCACAAATGTTCACAGCAGCAGCATTCACAACAGCCCAAAAGTACAAACAACCAAATGTCTATCAATCGATGAATGGATAAATAAGGTGGTAAATCTGCACGATGACATAATATTCAGCAATTAAAAAAAATGAAGTACCGATACATGCTACAATGTGGACGAACCTTGAAAACATTATGTTGAGTGGAAGCAATCAGACACAAAAAGGCCACTTACCGTATGACTGCATTTAAATGAAATGTCCAAAATACCCAAATCCATAGGACGGAAAGGAGATTAGTTGTTGTCAAGGGCTGGGGGGAGAGAGGAACAGGGAGTGGCTGGAACATGGGCACAGGGTGATGAAGACGTTCTGGAAGAACGGGGAGTGGCTGTTCATGGGTACAGGGTGATGAAGACGTTCTGGAAGAATGGGGGGTGGCTGCTCATGGGTACAGGGTGATGAAGATGTTCTGCAGTTAGATAGCGGGGATGGGTGCACTCCCTTGTGAATACACTAAAACCACTGAGTTGTACACTTGAAGAGAGTAAATGTTATGGTGTGTCAACTATATTTCAAAAACTAATTTTAAAAGAGAAATTGAAATGTATAATTTTTGGAATTAAAATAATGAGAAAAGCAGCTGAAGAAAAAATTATAAACTAGAAGACATATCTGAAAAAATTACTGAGAAACCAGCATTGACAGGAAAAGAGATGAAAAATATGAAAAAGTTAAGAGTGACACAGGAGAGAACAAGGTCTAGCCCACCCAGCTGCCTCAGAAGACAGGCCTGGTGATCTGTTTCTAAAAGGTCACAATCTAGAAAACCATACAGAGCAGTCCTACTCTGTACACAATGGGTCCCCGTGAGTCAGAATCGACTCAACAGCACCTAACAACAACACCACATATCTAACTACAGTCTCAGAAAGACTGAACAGAGATGGAAGCGCGAGTAATATTTGAAGAGATAATGAAAGAATCTTCAGACTTAATGAAAGACATGGATCTACAGGCAGGAAGCACAAAGCATACCAGGTGGCCTACATGAGAGGATTATTTGAATTTCCACCCAAACATAAGACACACTGTAATGAAACCACAGAACAGAGAGAGGAAGAGGGAGAGGAAAAAGCAGAAGAGAGAAGATCTTAGATAGTAAGTAGATCTGTCTGGATTCAAATTTTAAAAAAAGCAAAAAAATTTATGAAGACAACTGGAGAAATGTGAACACTAATTGCATATTTTCTATTAAGAAAATATTTGGGGGTGACAATGGCATTAAGTTTGAAGGAATCAAAGTCATATGCTTTTGTTATGGATTGAATTGTGTCCCCCCAAAATAAGTGTTATGAATTCTAACCTCTATGCCTGTGGTTATAATGCCATTTGGGAATGGGTTGTCTTTGTTATGCTAATGAGACAGGATTACTGTAGGCTGTATCTTGACAATCTCTTGAGATATAAAAG